CATTCGAAAGTAAAGTGTTTTAGTTGAATAAAGAAGAATTTCTGTTCACTATTACTTAAGAATTACACAAAATTACTTTCCTGTTCAGCTAACTGTCTTTTCCTAAAGTTCATTTTGCTAAAACAATGTCAATTCTCATCTATAACCAATGTTTCTTTTGTAGTTTGTGTATTGACAGAAATACTTTAATTACATAGTTAAATGATTTAAATTTCAAGTTTATTCTGTTAAGAACATTAGGAAAGTTAGCCCTCAAATTTGGTTGTGCCATGTAAATTTCACAATCTAGTGATCTCTTGAATAATTTACATAGCAGAACGAAAGATACGCCATTGGTCACATAGGATAATTGTAATGTAAGGTGTAAATGTATCCAATGATTCACAATCTTCAGGAAACAGTATTTATGTTAATCTTATGCTTTCCCAATCAAGTCAAGAAAGAAAAATGTTTACTGTGTTTGCACAGGTTTATGTAAACTGAGGAGACCTTTTGGAGAACTTGAGATCTGATCAGTGCAAAGCAGGTTTTGCACCTTCTTGAGTATTCTCACAAAGATCTCTGAGGTTTGCATAAGATTTTCGAGGTTTGCGTTTTAATTTTCCACAAAGTGTATTAATGAACGGTTTGCAAAATCTCTTTGATTGATTGTGGTTGAGCTACGATCGATTTACCCAGGCTTATGCAAACTCAGCCTTTTACCAATCAGCGCACATGTTTTACTGTTTTTATTTTATAAAGAAAATTAAAACACAAAAAATGTACTGCAATGATAAAGATATTTCTGTAGTAGAATTAATGGAGCATATTGCTACGCAAAATGTTGCCCATTTACGAGTAAAAGTTACTATTTTGATATGCACCATGTTTAGTTCTGTGTACCTGAGATGGGCCGCAGCGCTGACTATATTTACTAACCATGTTAACTCATGATTTTATTTTCAAAGATCATAAGCATTAAAATTCATCACTTAATTTTTTAGTGAAAATGGTAAAGACAAATTTAGTATTTTCGACTGTTACATTGATCACATTTCTTGGTCTTGCCAAAGGTATTTAACTTCAAATATCCATTTCTTTTTTTTACTTAAAAGATTTTTGATGTATTTTTATTTTCTGTTGTAGTAATATTTAATTTGTTTATTTTTTTATTCACAATTTTTGAATAGAACCTGAATTAAGAACATCAATTACTTTTGTTTTATTATTAGAAGATGTATTTTTTTCCTAAACTATCTTTTTATCAGTCATAGATATTAGCTAAATTTCAATTTCAGGAGCAATAACATCTCCACCTGATGGTCAAAGATTTGTATTTTTACCTCGATCTTTTCACGATATAACTTGGAGATTTAATGTTACTGAAAACATTACTTTATGGGCTTGGAGTTTTACACCTCGTGGTTCATCTTCCTCTCAACAAATTGCAAGAATATTTGCTAATAGCGAAACACCCCAATACTTTCCATCACCTTTAACATTTGAAGTTTTAAAGTTTTAAACATGGAATTTTGTTGCTGAATAATTTAAATCAAAGTTACAATGGTGAATATACATTTACTCTTGTAACTTCTACTGCTACTTCATCAAAAGTAAATGTTTATGTTGCTGGTAAGTTTTAATTATTTCAATCTTTCTTGTATTGTATGCATTGTTCTGAGTATTTAATGGGGGAAACTTGGCCTGAATTATTTTGCCGAAGAAACGTTTACAACTGTTATTGTGTCGTTGCAAACTTTCTTTTTCGGAGTTGGCCTTTAGGAGATTTGACAATGCTTTTGCAGTTCATGCAATTTTAACAATAAGTGGCAATACTCAAAGTGGAGACCCAAAATATGATACATCAGTCCTTAAGTCATTTGGTTTAGATGTTGAAGTCTTTAAACATTCAACTCTAATGTTAAAGAATTAAATGAAGATATGATCTTCGCACTTTTGCTGGACAATTTAAGCAATTGTCTCATGCACCTAAAAAAAATTCAGGTGACTCAACGGGATAGTCTCGTCAAAGGAAAAATATTCTTTTTCAAGGTGTTCAACGACCTCTTTGACGTCTCATTAAAAAGCACCATGCAGTTTTGTTCTCAATATTAATTGAAGCGTTGCTCTTCTCTTGAAACCTAAGGAATACAGAGTAAACAAAAAGAATGATAGCACAGCGCTATAACCAACAACTACAAACAATAACGACCTTATCTAACAACATCGTATTATGAATACAATTAATAACCATGTAATAACCATGTATTGGTTATTAATAACCAATTAATAACTATGTATTAACCTTATTAACCTTGTTATTAACCTTGTGAATACAGAGTACTTGGCACGTCCAAAAAGAGATCTCTCTGTTTCGTTTGTAGATAAAAACAATTTTCTTAAATTCATAATTTCTTTGAAAATTCATTTGAAAGAAATATTGACTCTTTCTTTTCATGTGTTGAAGATACACAATTATGTGCCTTACTAAGCGTTGCCAATTTAACTTTACCTCTTAAATTCGAGAAAATCTTCTCGACAACTGGCGAAGAACTATTTTTGTAGTGTGTTTTCTTCATTGCTTACAGTTTTTCGAGGCTTTCATCCAACTCATCAGCCAAAATCACCTTGTCGCCTTTAAAAGAAATACAAATAATGTTGAATACCGTTCTTTTCCTTGAGCCCATGTCGTGGCTTTTCAACTCATTTTCAGACTCCAAGTCAGCGTAATTCAAATGGAAGCACAGGTTATGAAAACACTATTTGGTATGACTTGCATGTTGTTCAATGGCCAGCTTGCTTCAATAATGTCTTCAGTATTTGTTTTGTTGTTTTGTCTCCACTATTCCTATGTTGAATTGTTTTTGTTATACCTGTTTACTTATATATGTTCCGCTCGTCGTTTTACTCTTTTTATTCGTTTTACCAATATCCTTATTTGACTTGGCCACAAACTTTCGTAAGTGAAATCAGTAAGTGAAATAAGTCAATGAAGTTCTTTCATCACTTTTTTATACTTCAACTGTCTGAACTTTCGTTGATTTCAATGAATGGCAATCTTCTATTTGCCACACCAAGTACACGGTCAGAAGCATAGCGATGGTTTCTATGAATTTTGCGACTAGTCTTACAATGAAGATGGTAAAGGTCACTTACCAGTCTCATGCAGCATTTTTAACTGCGTTCGATATTAACCACGCTAGACTTTGCATTTCTTGCTTGTTCAATCCACTTAATTTCAGACGTTTCAACATCCATTTGACAAACAACATACATGTATGTAATGAAAAGGTCATTTGTGGCTACAAAGATGGGTTTACCATCTCCACCAAGTTCTTCTTTTACAGGATGTGTATCGATCAATGAGTTGTGATGCACTCCTACCAAAAATGTGTATGAACAGTGGATGTATAATCCAACTTATGATTTCTCATTGTTTACTTGCTTACAAGTTAAAGCATCAATAATTTCATACCTACCGACCTTTGACAACGCGCCATTGCCTGATATGCACTCCTCTGTCAAACGGTTGGAGGATTTGATCAATTTGTTTTGCTGTGTCTTAAATTTCTAAAACAGTTATTTTCAGAATTTTCAGGTTAATGCTCTAATTCTAAAACAGTTCTTTTCCGAAATCTTGATTATTTCTTTGTTTTTTTCTGGTTAGTTTTTTTCTCGGTTTTATCTTGGGTTTCGTGGTTTTTTATTTGGTTTCAGTCCATTCACCATGGCAATTGCTCTCCTATAGTCAATAAAACTTATCGAAGTTATGTAAAATGTTGCTTTCCTAAATTCCTAATGGGATTGCTATGTTTAAAACAACTTGATTTTATTGATCAATTACTTTCACCATATATTCATTTTCTTTATTTTGAATACTGACTGAAAATTTTCTGTTTTTGTTTTCAGCTAAACCAAACGTGATAATTAATTGTTCAACTCCTCTGGTTGTGAATGAAGGTGATAATGTGTCATGTGTATGTAGAGGTGAAGGAGGTAGCCCTCCTGCTAATGTCACATGGTTTGATAAAGATAACAACATAATTGGTGATGTTGGAGTTGTAAGTAAGACATTAGTAATCACTAATGTTACAGTGAATGATGGTGGAACTTACAGATGTAAAGCACAGAGTTATAATGATCCACGTTTTAGAGATGAAAAATCTATTGAAATAACAGTGAAAGCTACTTGTAAGTTTTGTAAGAAAGCATTTCAGATCTCATTATAAACGTTTGACATTTAGGCATCAATGCCCTTTTTGCTGCCTGCTGCGCTGACGTATGCATCTGTCGTCACCTAGCTGTTAACTTTGCCTATTGCATATCCTCATTAAATAGGCTATCAAGAGCCTTAGACGACTATGATTTGTTTATAGTTCTTCGAAGACCAACGATAGTTGTTTAGGTTTCATAATAAGTCAATATTGTTTATGTCTAGTCGGTCACGCAATTGACTTTCAAAATTTTAAAAATTATTATTAATATGCATCTTTAAAGTTGAGTGATTATTGTTATGTTCTTGTTCTTTTCCAACATCAAAGTCTTTTTTACAAATAAGATTTTCACTAAGCAAATTGCTTACTAATGCAGTGGTTTCATGCAAAAATCTCATTGGATAGCAGTTTAGTGGAAAATTTCCACTAATTTTTACTTTTAGCAAGTGATGAACGGGCTTTCTGCTGGCTTGTGACTTGTTAGGGCATCGATCCAACACTCCTAAGAAAAAAACACCTAACACTGACGAATATTCTCATTATTAATTTTCTTTTTCATGACTAATTTAAGAAAGAATTTTTTCTCCTCTTAATTTCAGTGAAACTAAATGTGGTAATTAATTGTTCAACTCCTTTGGTTGTGGATGAAGGTGATAATGTGTCATGTGTATGTAGAGGTGAAGGAGGTATCCCTCCTGCTAATGTCACATGGTTTGATAAAGATAACAACATAATTGGTGATGTTGGAGTTGTAAGTAAGACATTAGTAATCACTAATGTTACAGTGAATGATGGTGTTACAAGCACAAAGTTATAATGATCCACGTTTTAGAGATGAAAAATCTATTGAAGTAACAGTGAAAGCTACTTGTAAGTTTGTAAGACAGCATTTCAGATCTCATTATAAACGTTTGTGTAGAATATTGAATTTAATTTTATTATTTACAGATCGACCACAACAAACCAATATTACCATCAGTCCAATGTCAGTAAAAAAAGGTCAAAATGTGACAATAACCTGTGAATCAGATGGTTATCCTGAACCAACCTACACTATTTATCATAATGGCGCAGTTATCAGTAATAATAAGACATACATCATTCAATCTGTCAACTTCAATCACGTTGGTTCATATCGTTGTGAAGCAAAGAATAAACTGGGAAATGATTTATCTGATGTTAAAAATCTTACTATCATCAGAGGTAGAATTAAAATTTTACTTCATCAATTTTTGGGCTAGTATCCTACATTGTACATGAACAAATTACGACTGTTCAGTTTCATTCCATTTGTACACGATAGTACAAGATTGTGCTGAACAATGAAGATAGTTATATATTTTTTTTTGTTGGCGAGATTTAGATTCGTTGTGTTGAAAGACTACCTCTGCCAATTATGATTGACTCTTAAGCCTACTCCTCATATGCCCCTTTGTCTGCGTCCTGTGCTTACGTATGCATCTGTCGTCACCTAGCTGTTAACTTTGCCTATTGCATATCTTCATCAAATAGGTTATCAAGAGCCTTAGACGACTATGATTTGTTTATAGTTCTTCGAAGACCAACGATAGTTTTTTAGACTTCATAATAAGTCATAATTTTTTATGTATAGTCGGTCACGCGATTGACTTTCAAAATTTCAAAATTTATGATTGATATACATCTTGAAATTTGAGTGATTATTGTTATTTTGTTGTTCTTTTCCAACATCAAAGTCTTTTTTACAAATAAGATTTTCACTAAGCAAATATCTCATTGGATGCGAATTGAGTGGAAAGAATTTCCACTAATTTGGTTTTAGCGCTGATAAGCGGGCTTTGTGCTGGCTTGTGACTGGTTAGGGCATCGATCCAACACTCCTAAGAAAATGCACCTAACACTAACGAATACTCATTATTAATTTTCTTTTCATAACTAATTTAAGAAAGGAATATTTTCTGTTTTAATTTCAGTGAAACCAAAGTGGTAATTAATTGTTCAACTCCTCTGGTTTTGAATGAAGGTGATAATGTATCATGTGTATGTAGAGGTGAAGGAGGTATCCCTCCTGCTAATGTCACATGGTTTGATAAAGATAACAACATAATTGGTGATGTTGGAGTTTTAAATAAGACATTAGTAATCACTAATGTTACATTGAATGATGGTGGAAATTACACATGTAAAGCACAAAGTTATAATGATCCACGTTTTAGAGATGAAAAATCTATTGAAGTAACAGTGAAAGCTACTTGTAAGTTTGTAAGACAGCATTTCAGATCTCATTATAAACGTTTACAGAATATTGAATTTTGTTAATTCTATTTAGATCCACCACAAGAAACCAATATCACCATCAGTCCTATATCAGTTAGAAAAGGTCAAACTGTGACAATAACCTGTGAATCAGATGGTTATCCTGAACCAACCTACACTATTTATCATAATGGTGCAGTTATCAGTAATAATAAGACATACATCATTCAATCTGTCAACTTCAATAACGCTGGTTCATATCGTTGTGAAGCAAAGAATAAACTGGGAAATGATTTATCTGATGTTAAAAATCTTACTATCATCACAGGTAAAATTAAAATCTTACTTTTATCAATTTTTGAGATAGTATCCTACTTTGTACGTAAATCAGAATTACTTACGACTTGTCAATGTTCATCTTCCATTGACTTGAATTTGTACACGATAGTACAAGATTGTAAAAAAAGTCTTTTTTACAAATGAAAATTTTCATAAAGTAAATTGCTTTATGAAGCAGCGGGCAAAAATCTCATTAGTTACCAAATTAGTGGGAAAATTCCACTAATCTGGACTTTTACTGACTAGCGCGCTGTGCGCTGGTTTGTAAGTGATTTGGACATGTCCATTCTTACGCTAGTCCTAGTTTGGCCGTCTAAAATTGTGATCGTACTCAAATTGTAAATCAGCTACTGCGCGTGCTCTATGGACTCAGACTGCTTCACCCTGATCCGTGGCATCAAAATTTGCCTTTTTTATCGTTCTTTTTATCGTTGTGAAGCAAAGTTTACACTGGGCAAAGATTTGATGTTAAGAATTTCACTATCAACCTAGGTAAAAAGATTGAGTTTCACTCTTTCATTTGATTTGTTCTTTTTTTCAATTATTATCTTTTTTTTTTATAGATATTTCTGTCATTCAGTATTCTGTCAGCATTTTCATCTCTTTGACATTATAATTTGAGTTGATTTCTGTGTAGCTATTTTAGCATTTGTCATTGAACCATTTGTCAAGATATTCATCTACTGATTGCAACACGAAAGGTAATTTATTTACAATGCTTTAAAATCATATTTATGTTTAAAATACTATTAGCTCTTTCTGTTCAATTTGCATGCGCTACCTGAGATGCTAAAAATCCTTAAACGAAAATTTAAGCAAATCGCTCTTTTATAACAAACTTTAGCTCTAGCCACACAATGCAATTAACATCTCGACCTTTGCCTTAGACTTAATGGAAATTTTCAATTCAATCTATCCAATGCTCAATCAAAATGCTCCAATCTTGTTATCATATGTTATCATAATGCTAAATTATTAAGTATCTACTTTTGTGTTATGTTTATTGTAGAAAAAGGATACCAGTAAGAGAATTATTCATTTTAATTTTGTTTGTGTAATATGTGATGTTAATGTGTTTTTTATTTCCCATCTTTTGAATAAAATATTTTCATGGTTTGAGCAAGTTAGAGAAACTGTTGTTTTTTCGTACAGTACGAACTGTTGTATTAATTTTGTATCTATATTTTCTTCGTTTTGTCCATATCGTGTACAAAATTTAATCATGGTTGTTAATGTTGCAGTGGTGAAAATGGTGTTGAAGCTTTAGCAGGAGCTAATAATGCACAACCCAATCATTATGAAGTGGCTGGAGAACTTAGAGAAAATGCTTATGAATCTGTTGGTAATCAATATGAATCAGTAAATAATCCATCAACAAGTGATGAAAATAAACCATCAACAAGTAAAGCACCACCACCTGTTTATGCCTCCATCGATAGAAAAAACAGAGAAGGAAATCCGGTTTGTTGTGGATATTTGTCATTTATTATTTATAAATAAAATTTGTGCATTTATGTTGTTTTATTTGGATTATGGCGATGATTTTGAATGCATCATAGAGATTATGCAGGGGGTTTAAAAAAACTGCTCTTATGTGAAAGCACCCGATATTTAGAATTATTATTATTTAGAAGTAATGATTCCCAAAGACCTGTAAACACACTTGAAAACAATACATACGAATTGCTTCATTGAAACTTGATTTTATATTAGACGAGTGTCTCTAATAAGCGCTCTGACTGCAATAGACAAACCCGGCACATTGTCATAATTTAAGGGTGTTATCGATTGGGCTAAGAAACCGTATATTTAATCTCGACTTTGTTTCTGTTTTGCTTACAATAAGGTGATAGAAAATGATGTAAACGTCTCTCTCTATTTCACTACTCGTATTAACTGAACGTCCCTCCCCTCTCTCGAACTGCTGTGGATATATATTTTATCATCATATGTATATATGATAAAGTATATACAAAGCGTATAACAATGTGCCCTCCTGGCTATCACCATAGTAAAATGGTGACTCTGCACTTGGGACACAGGATGTACGGTTACACATTGTATGGATTGTTTTGTAACCAGAGTGCTCAAACATAATAGAAAAAAACAATGTTTGTAATGACAATATATACGTATTTTTTCTGTAGTTATACTCCTCACTTGATTTAAAAGATGTCCCTTAAAAAAACCTGGCCCAAAATCGTCCTGCACCGTCTGAATACGCCAGACTTGATATGAGTAAACTGGCACCTGTCGAGAAAAAGACGACAAGAAAGGCGAAGACAAAAAAGGCGATGAAAAGAAGGAATAGTAAGTTTTATCTTTTGGAAAAGATCCACAAAGCTCGACGTCATTAATTGATGGTTGAAGAAAAAAGTAAAAGTAAAAATAGATTCATTTGTTGAATATTTTTTTAAAAAATGCCGAAAACATGTTTTTCTTTCTCTTATTATGGTAGTTTAATCTTATTATAAATTTCCTTTAGAACTGGCGATCGTCGTTAATAAAACAAGAGTACGTAAAGACTTACTACATTTATAAAGTTTTATTTTGTTCTTCATTATATAATCTAGATTTGATCTCTAAACAGTATTAAACTGAATACTTTATGATTGTGTCTGTGTACATAATCTTTTGCCATGAACAAACTTGAATCTTGGCATCTATGCTACAGTTTGTGAATGTATTTTACTTGCCTTTATAAGGCAACAACATTACACACTGACTTTAACACAGCATTTTGAATAGAATAGTTTTAATCTTAGTTTTACTTTTGTTATTTTAATTATCATGGTTAAACCATTTAAAA